ATTTTAATGAACTCCGTTTAGAGAAGTAAATTACTGGTACAATCTTAAAATTCATATCTTCAACGAAGATAATTATTACAGACACAACAAGATTTATATCATATCTTAATATTAACATGTTTAATGAATTATAATTTAGAAGAAATAATGAAGGAAATGTTAAACGCATCTAAGAAGATTGCAAATTTTAAATTTAAAGTTTGTTTGTGTAAATTTCTCAAAAACACTTTTAAGAGAGATGAATAAAATAAATTTTTTAATTGATTAATTTGTACACATTCTCTCTTATTAATTTTTTTCAAAATCTTATTTTAATTTATATATAAGTGAGTTTTAATTATGAAAAAAATTATTTTAATTTTTCCTTCTAAAAAAGTTTCTGTAAAAATTTATTCAAACAAATCTTTAATTGACCTTTTCACACTAGTTTTCTCAATCGGATAGATGATATTAACCATATTAGCATGTGTACAATTGAAATAATCACCTTCATTTTAGTAGATTAAGAAAACTATGAACAAAAATTATTGGAGCTTGAAATCTATAAATGTGACTTAACTCTACTTCATATAAGCAAATGTAGGACGACTACTGAAACCAATATTTACCAGTTGCTAAGTAGAAAATTTTGCTTGTAAAAGTGTGACAATTATTTAGTGTGACTTCGCAGAATGGTCCGTTTAAGAGCCCTCCAAAACCTGTTACATCCACTTACCAAGGGATGCTGAGTCATCAAATGTTGACTTCAACAAAATCAGAAGGAGGGTGATGGAATCTCCATGGTGAATTGATGAACAAATTCTTCAAAGAAGGCTTCAAGCTCTTGGATCTTCATCCATATGGCTCAAAATCATCAAAGAAACAACTCAAATATGGAAAGACAAGAGGAGGAAGGACGTGTCACTCTTAAATAAGAGATAAGCAAGAAGTGAGATTCTTGTTACAAAGAAAAATTTCTTGATGAAAGAATTTAAGAAAATAATTTCTTTAAAGAGAGATTAAGACCTTTGAAAAAGAATTTCAAAAATCTTTTCTTATTTAATCTCAAAAGTGGAGTAAACATACAAGGCATGAGAATATATAGAGTTAGGTAGGGAGCAAGTTAAGCTAACATGAACAAAATTGAATCATGGTTACTTAACCATGAGTAAATGGATAAATATTTGAATTTCAAATTCAAATATTTGGCACCAAAAACCCTTAACTCTATAAATCATGTGTTCTAAGAATTTTTCATATGACAAGTGTGAATAGTGTGACTAATTAAATTGTGTAATCTATAGTAAGGTATAAAAACACCTATGTGGTCATTTGTCTCATGTGGGTAGACGTCACCCATAGGTTTAATTACAAACTCAATTAATGTGTTACATATTAGTTACATTCTTCTAAATTATTAATTAAACTTATAAAGAGATATTAGAAAAGAACTTCCTAAACTATTTGACTCAAAATATAAGATTAAAATATATAAAAAAAATATTACAAAAAATAATTAACAAAAAAAAATGAAATGGACTAAAAAAATAACCTAAAACCCAATAATGAACTTGAACCTCTACCTTCAAACCTATCTCATTTCTCTTAATTCTTTTTATATCGGACTTTCTGGACATATTCATTAAAAGGAATCCAAGAAACATAACGAACAAGTCTGCAACCGTAGGTTTGAGGGGAACATGAGTGATGATATTGTAGAGAGTTCGAAATTTCTTAATGATGTATCAAATTATATAATTTGGATAATTACTAGATACTTAAGTTTTGATGATGACTTGATCCGGTTATAAACCTCTAGTAAATTTGTTACAAAAAAAAAATCAGTAAAAACCTAGTAAATAAAAATTAGTTATCAATAAAGACACACTATTACAATTAAAGATCTTTTAGTGTACATAGAACTTTTAACTTAAACGAGCTAAAAGAGGTTCCGTCAATTATATGTGCACTATAGAACTTCCTTTAATTGACATTAAAGAACACTAATATAGTATCTAGCCAAATAATAAATAGCTTCTTATTAGGCAAAGATGACAAGTCAATTATTTAAACTATATGATTGAATTACGTACATCATAGAATCGTAAACGAAGCGTGAGATTTACATTTCTTTTGTAAATCTATTGAGTCGTCACACAAGATCTTCCAAACAAATTGTCTTAACAAAATAAATAACTTTAAAACTGAAAATTACTATAATTAGGGACATTATATACTCCATGCGAGGATTGAATTTCCATTTTCACAAACGAAACAAATCTAGGTCTTTATCAACCTACTTAGAAGCACATACCGTGTAAAAGTTTTTTTTTTCTTTTTTTTTTTCTGTTTTCAATTACTTATGCTGAGAAAAGATATTACCTCTTAACCTCAAATGGAATCTGCGTACTCAAAAACATACCGGAGCTATTTCATGATTTATTTAATTAGTGAAAGTTTAGAAATTTTCCTCGTCTACAAGTGAGATTAGAAGTTCCTGAAACTAATTCAAACCAAGTACGGGTTTCGGTATAATCAGAATAGGAGATTGTACAGGGCACATTTGCCTCCTCTACAGAGTTAAGTCCTCTTGACTTTGACCTTAAACGTTACTCTTTTTTTTTTTTTTTTGGTACGTGTGAAACACAAAATACTAATGAATCATAACTAATAGTCTATTTTCTAAACAAATGTCAAAGACAGTTAGAAATATAACTAATACATATCAGTATCACAATCTTGAAGTTCAAGGTATGCATTAACAAAGTTTAAAGTAAACAGAACGAGACAAGGGTATATAATCAATGTCTTAGAGAGGAATCTTAGTTTAACATCAACATCTAGAGATATGTAGCTACGTTGTTCTCAATTTCTTCTTTGGCCGGTTCATCAAATGGTTCCTCCCCAACATATAAATCTAGAATTGACTTACACAGGAGTTTGCTATGGATGCTTCCCACTTCTTGTCCATTAACTATACAAAAAAATAAGATAAATTGCATAAATTTTATGAAGCCAGTTTGAACTACGGTTTAACGTATATATAAAGGAACACTCATTAAATTAGACTCATAGACTCAGTTCTAAATGAAGAAAATAGAGAGAAGAAACATATTCATGAATTCTCAACTGAATCTTCCGAATTACTATTAAGATCTAATTTTTCCTTATACAAAACACAATCGATCAATTGATCATGAAGTAGGAGAGTTATTTTGAATTGTATTATAATTCTGAAACTTGAGATGGATACAAATATGGAAAGAGATGACTTACTCAATGTGCGAAGAAAATGACCCTTCTCTCTTAAAAGATGAATTACACATCCACGGGGTATTTTATATTCATCTTTAAACTGTGAAGTAAACCTGCATTACATCATGTTAGTAAAGTAAAATTATAATATGCAACAGAAAATTCTTACCAACTTTGGATGGAAAAAATTATTTTTGGTGAACATATATTAGGAATAAAATTTTCCACAAATTATCGAAGTTAATACATCAACAACTATTATAAAATACATTTTATGTTTAAAGCATGTGAGATGTCTTTGAGTTGCATAGTGTTTGGTTTGAAAGTTAACTTTCAGTGTTAAAAAGAGTTATAAAGTGTGCACACATATACTTATTGTTTGACAAACATTTTTATGTGTGAAAATGAGAATTCAGCCCCAAATCTGCAATGTCCCCACAAGTTTTACACAAGTAAATATAATGATACCAATAACTAAGTCTTAACATAAGAAAATGATATTGCAAGTTGAAGGAAGTATTCACCTTTTAAGCAATTCTTTATAGTCCGATCCCCCAAACTTGTGCAGTCTGCTTCCCACAGACTCTTCAAATACATTACGCAAGAAACCAATGCTCAATTCGTCGTGGACAATTTGAAGTCTAACTGCCATGAATATGTCACTTTTCATAAGATCATCGGTAAACTCTTTTTTGCCCTGTAATTTAGAAGCAGAAAACTTCGTATATTTCTCGGAAAGATATTCCTTTATGTCCAAATCAGCAGCATAAACACCTGTCCAAATGACAAATTTTCTAAATACCATAAACTTTTGATTGTTGGTTTCCCCCCTAATCACTATATATCACTATTTGTTATGTATTTCAAACTAACAATTAATTACATAAAAATTAAGTTATAATAAAATCAAACAGAAAGTTATATTTCATCTAATAAAAAGAAATTAATTTAGATATTTTTTATGTGAGTTATCTCCTGTAGGTAAAACCATAGTAAAAGCAATTCTAGGAAGAACAAAAGAAAAAGGTGGTAGAGACATTAGATCGGAAAATACAAGTTAAATTGAAAAAAAAAATATTTTTTTTTTGTCATACCAAATGCATAAACATCAAAGCTTATGAATGGAATAAGGCTTTTTTTTACGCAAACCAACTCCACAGAGTTTGAGAGAAGGGCCTAGAGCAGATGGGAAGGACACTCCAGTTCGTCTCTCATACACGTAAACACCATTGTCCTCCAAACTGAGAGGCATCGATGAGTGAGAAGAGATGACAGAACTCATCGCAGTGAAGGAGAAGGGAATCGAAGCGGTGGATGTAGAAAATAAGAGAGACAAGTGATATTAATATTGTGTGGACATAGCAACTCACTGTGTTTTTTATTACAAGTTGCTCGGGAGGGAATTGTTTTTTCAACCTTGGCCGAACAAGTTGCTCGGGAGGGAAATGTTTTCTCAACCTTGGCCGAGCAAGTTGCTCGGGAGGGAATTGTTTTTTCAACCTTGGCCGAACAAGTTGCTCGGGAGGGAAATGTTTTCTCAACCTTGGCCGAGCAAGTTGCTCGGGAGGGAATTGTTTTTTCAACCTTGGCCGAACAAGTTGCTCGGGAGGGAAATGTTTTCTCAACCTTGGCCGAGCAAGTTGCTCGGGAGGGAATTGTTTTTTCAACCTTGGCCGAGCAAGTTGCTCGGGAGGGAATTGTTTTTTCAACCTTGGCCGAGCAAGTTGCTCGGGGGGGAATTGTTTTTTCAACCTTGGCCGAAAGGCACTCCGACGATCAAGTCAGTGTTCGGCTTAGAGCAATAAATGTGCTAGTGGGAATAGTAACGTACCTCATTTATGTCATATCACCTGTATATTTATAGTGACATGTTTGGGCCTGGTGGGCCTTCATTCTTGGGATGCGGGTAACACGTGAATTAACCTTAACCCTGTCTTAATTTGGCCTGGTGATTAGTATCTTAGTAGGTATCTGGTTTGCCACGTGTTCACCAGTGTTTGATTTGCCACGTGTTCACCATGGGTTTTTCACTATGCTTTCGGCTAGGCATAAGGCCGAAGGGGTGTTCGGTCAAGCTTGGGACCGAAGAAGTGTTCGGTCAAGCTTGGGGCCGAAGGGGGTGTTCGGCCAAGCTTGGGGCCGAAGGGGTGTTCGGCCAAGCTTGGGGTCGAAAGGACGTTGTTGAGTAACTACTACTCTTTGGGTCTTTCCCAAGGGACCAGAAGAGTGTTCGGCCTAGCCTGAGGCCGAGGGGGTGTTCGACTAGGTATGGTGCCGAGGGGGGGGAGCTGTGGTTCATCGGTTTGGGCCCCCCTCTCGGCCTATCGTCTGACCGAGGGGGTGCCACGTGGTATTACTCTTCGGTTCGGGCCCCCCTCTCGGCCTATTGTCTGACCGAGGGGGTGCTATATGGTGTGGCCCTCCGGTTCGGGTACCCCTCTCGGCCTATTGCGTGACCGAAGGGGTATCCACCGGTACACTACCCCCCCAAGCCCGAGGGTGAAAGACGAAGGGGTTTTACGAGAAAGAGGTTCGGGGAATATTCAGGGTTTGAAATATGGGGGGACGTGCACTTTCGGGAGTCGTGTCGAGTGGACAATGACAGTTGCATGCTACCGCCGCCTTAGGGTTTCGTGCCTTGGGGTTGTGTCGTTTGGCGTGCAGGTGCATTTATTATGAGCCTCTTGGGTTGCCGTGAGTGACTTATATATAAGGTGTTGAGGTGGGGCTCTTTGCCTTATACTTTCTCTGCATCGCCTCTAGTCTTTCTTCTCTGAGCCGAATACTCCTAAAAGGTTGGTTTTATTTTTTGATCTTAGTGATAATGGCCACCGAAGGTGTTACATTGTCGTCAGGGTTCTCGGCCAGCGAGGGGGGATCGGCCCAAAATCCGGATGCCGAGATATTGGCGTTTAACGCCGAAGTAGAGACGATTGGGGGTCTTAGTGAGTCGGGCCCCGAGCGTAGTGGGGAATCGGGGACTTCCTCTGGGTCGGAATTGCCCGATGCCGAAATGAGTCCCGGGGATTATAGGCAAAAATTTCCCCCCTGTGAGGTCCCCGGGTACGACTGGGTTGATGGTGAAGTGGCGGCCTACTTCTCCCGTTTTCATGAGAGGGCCGCCGTGATACGCCTTCTTAGCCTTTGCACGTTGGGCCGATGGGAAGGTTGGGACCCTTATCCGATCATGCTTCGACGATGCCGAGCCGAAGGACCTGGGGAGCTCGATCTGGTTTTCCTTGCGAAGCGGGAAGAGCAGGGGGATTTCTTTTACATGTACGAGTGTTTCTTTCGGGAGTTAGGGATGTCGCTTCCTTTTGATGATTTTCAGATGGGGGTCCTTCGTGTATTAAACGTAGCTCCGACCCAGTTGCACCCGAACGCGTGGGCTTATATGCAAGCGTTTCGGGTGTTATGTAAATACCATTACGTAGAGCCGACTGTAGGTTTGTTTTTGCATTTCTTCTGTACACGTCCGTCTAATAAGACGATTAAGTGGTTGTCGCTAATTCGGAACCCCGACCGACCACTGTTGACACCCTTTACGTCTTCCTTTAAGGGCTTCAAGTCAGGGTTTGTGAAGGTAATCATAGACCCTGTAGCCGGCAGAAATTATTTTTACGATGCCGATGGGAAGCCCCTTTTTCCTTTTTATTGGACTCGTCAGCCTCGGAAGTACGATGACTTCCCCGAGGATATGATGACCGATGCCGAATTGTCGGCCTTAAGCGTTCTTAAGGGATTGCCGAGGTGCATCCCGTCTCGGTTTCTGGTGCTGCTTCCCAAATCGCCTCGGCCTCGTTTTGAGTTAGAGGGTATGTGTTATTTTATTTCCTTTTGCTCGTGCTTGTTAGGTTGATTTGTGACTTGGTGTGTTTTTGCAGGTTGGATGGCGCAGCAAGGTTTGGGCTTGTCATACCGGCAGTTAATGAGGAGCAGGGCTCCGGCTGGGTCCTCTGCTGAAGATCATCGCAGTGTCGCGATTGATTCCCAACCGCAAGTGATGGAAGCTCCCCAACCGGCGCCCCCTGTTATTGCTCTTCCCGACCCAAAAAGCAAGAGGAGGAAAGACAAAGGGAAGAGAAGAACTGACGCAGCCGGTCCGGAGGCGCCGCGGCCGAAGCAGCGCAGGGTTGAAGGGTCTTCGTCGGACTTGGCGGTCCCTTCGGCCATTGTGGCCAAAGACTTTCTGTCTGAAGAGATCCGGCCGTCGAGGATGATGTCTTCGGATTTGCTGTCGGCTCAGGGTCACACGATGCTTGACTCGGCCTCTCCCTCGGCTCGATGGGCTATGGCCTGTGAGTTACATGTTCGGGCAACGGCCATTTTTAGGAAGATGGCCTTGGAGCCGATGGGTGATCTTCATAACCTCCAGAAGAGTTTGGAGGATACTAAGGCGGCCCTTCAACAGTCCCTGTCGGCACAAGAGGCGCTTTCCAACGACCAGGCCGCGTCCGATGCTGAGATTGCCCGCTTAAAGGGGGCGTTCGCGGAGATGGAGGCTCGGGCCTTGGCGGCTGAGGAGGCAAGAGTCCAAGAGGCGAAAGAGGCCGCTGCTCGGGAGGAGGAAATGAAAGCCGAGGCCGATGCTGTTATGGCCTCTTTTCGGGCCGAATGCGAGGATAAAATTGTGAAGGAGCACGAGGAGGGGTTTTGGCACGCCGTTCGGCAGGCAACCCACTTCGGTGCTTTTCCCTCCGACTTTTCATTTGAGTTGAGCAAGGACTTTTTCCAGGGAGAGTTCCTGGATTTTGCCGAGGCGCCGGATGACCTTGAGCCGGATAATGCGGCCCCGCCTCGATCAGCCCCCGCCGAAGACCCTGGGACGACTTTGAACGATGACGACGACGAGACCGAGCAGACAACCAATGCCGATTAGGCGGCCTTTGCTCTCGTCTTTTTGATACATCTGTTTTGTTGATGATGTATAGGGATAGGGTATACTTTTTGTTCTTTTTTGATTCCTTAGGCCGAATGAGCCAAATTTGATTGTACCCCCCCGGCCGTTAGTGCCGTTTTTATCTTGAATGAAATCTTAGTTCCCGTTCGGGCTTTCCTTTTGCTCTTGTTTATTTACAGATATTGTACCTTCATTACCTGTTTCCATTTTAACACAACATAGAATTTTCTTTAGCCGAGTGAGGTATACCTTGAAGTGAGATTGCATGAAAGCCAGTTAAGATTTCAACCTTGGCCGAACAAGATTGCTCGAGAGGGAATTGTTTTTTCAACCTTGGCCGAGTAAGGTGCTCGGGAGGGAAATGTTTTCTCAACCTTGGCCGAGCAAGTTGCTCGGGAGGGAATTGTTTTTTCAACCTTGGCCGAACAAGTTGCTCGGGAGGGAAATGTTTTCTCAACCTTGGCCGAGCAAGTTGCTCGGGAGGGAATTGTTTTTTCAACCTTGGCCGAGCAAGTTGCTCGGGAGGGAATTGTTTTTTCAACCTTGGCCGAGCAAGTTGGTCGGGAGGGATTTGTTTTTTCAACCTTGGCCAAGCAAATTGCTCGGGGACAGTTGTGGTACGGTCATTCCATTAACAACCTTTGCCATCACTCTCTCTTTCTTTTTTTTTCAAAACACACACAGGCGCACACTATTTTTCCTCTCACACTCGGCACTCAGAGCATAAAGCTCTGATACCAATTTGTAGAAAATAAGAGAGACAAGTGATACTAATATTGTGTGGACGTAGCAACTCACTGTGTTTTTCATTGAATAAGAGATGACCTTTAAATAGCCATTGTACAACGTACCGAATTAACAAGACGATAACAAAATATCTTATCAAAACAGATCTTATAAAAAACTATCTTATCTAAAATGAAACAAACAACTCAAAAGAAAACAGATAAACTAACCCGAATATCCTTAAAATTTAAGATTATCTAACAGTGGAGACGGAGAAAAGAGAAAGTGAATTGCAGGAACTCTAAACAAAAACAAAACAAATTACAGTAAAATGCATGCACTAGGCATTATAACGTAACACTGCTTACGTTATCATTTAAATCACTACAACAAGTCACCGACATGATTTTATTTCCCTTTTTTGCGGTTTTCTTGTCGGCAATTTTTTTTATTATTGAAAATGAATAAAATCAAAGAGAAAAAGAATCTGGCCTATCAAATTTTATTAGGTGCTGAAATTTCTTATTTGAGTTTTATTCATCACATAGCTTCAAAGTAGTGTACTTATCCCCTTCATCTCCATGCATCTCCCTACTAACTAAGAAAACAAGAAAAGATGATTGGACCGAACATATGAATGGGTATTTTCTACAGTAAATCTATGATGCTATAAGTGGTTCACATGTTAACATCTATTTTATTATGTTAGAATGTAGAATCAAGTTCTCTTTGGGTGGACTAGGTGTTGACTCGGTTATATTTTTATAAAAATAATGGAGGATTGAGATTTATTATTGGTTTTGCTGTTAAATTAAGAAATTAAAATTATGATTAATTATGTTTTTATTTCTCACTTGATGTTAAACTTTTTTTTTACCATTTGTAGTCCTTTGATTTTTACGTTTGTATTTTAGTCCATCCGTTAAATTGAGATATGGAGCACACATTTTTTAAAGGTTTTTAGAGCTGTTTCTTTACTAGAAATTTTAGAGGTTTAAAACTACTAAAATAAAAAATAAAATATAGAAAAAAAATTACTCTCACTTTCTCAAAAGATATTAAAATGACATACATATCTCTTCTAATATTTAAAAATCACCAATCTCTCTTAAAATAACATTATAAGTTTCTGATTGGCTTTTATAAAGACTATTTTTCCAACTATTATGGGAAATTCATGATTAGATGAGTTGTTGACACAATAGTGCCAAGTTGGTTCAACATTGGACCTTCCTATAAATATGTTATAAGAAGTCTTAGCCTCAATTAACAAGTATTTGTTCATGATTCTTCATGCATTTGGTGGTGACCCAAAAGTTGTCAAAAATTCCACATAGTCACAAGTATGTACTCGCTTTCGTGCAAAACCAATTAAAGGTTCTATATATGATTTGCAAAACCAATTAAAGGTTCTATATATAATTTGATGAGAGCATGTGAAATGTCTAACTTTAAGAAAGTTAGTCAATAAAGCACATCAGTCAAACTTCCTTGGCCAGTGAACGTTTTGTGTACTTCCCAGTTTGCTAACTCAACAACAATCACCATTGGATTGTCTTGGTTTAAACTGACACTAGCATAGTCATCATCGATAAATGTGATTGGTGGAGTAGATTGATTAGGAATATTAACCATGGAATTGACATTGTGAATGTTTCATAAATGTCTCTTCTAGGCTGAATTAGTTGTGCCTTCTCCTGCAAATCCTTCAGTAATGGTGTTGATATTACATTGTTTTGTTCAACAACTTGTTGTTTTGTGTTGTTGGTGACTTGTTGTTCTCCTAAGGGTCGATCTTGTCGGGTTTATTGACCTTTATCACATCCACGACCTCGGACTTATCCTCGGTAACCACCTCAATATGATTGGGATCGTTGAACATAATGACCAAGTTGTCATGCTTAAATTAATTCTTCAATGCGATCTTTCGATGTCCAACATTCTTCTATCATATGATCATAATTCCTATGGTAACAACAATGTTTAGATTTGTTCGCATTGTTGGGATTATGTCTGGGTGGTGGTGGAGATATTAAATCTGCATGTTAGCTTCTTCTAAGATATTGATTTGAGGTGCATTTAATGGAGTATAAAAATCATACCTTGGACCTCGTCCTTGACGAGGTTTCTTAAATCGGACTTCTCCATATACTTTCAATTTTTTTTATGCCCAGAATCATCTTTATTAGATGTTCTTCCTCGAACTTTATCTTTAAACTCGACATATTCCTCCATCTGAATGTACCCATTCGCTCATGCACGAAGTTTGTCCATGTTTGCAGGTTGTCTATGACATAAACTGTATATGAATGGTCCCAGTTTGAATGTCATAAGCATTGAATGTAGAGTAACCTCAGAATTAAGGTTATGAATCTTTATAGATACGCTTGCAAAGCATTCCATAAATTTTCATAAGGACTCATCTTCTCCTTGTCTCATTGGCGAGGGCTGCCGAAGTGATATGATGAGGTCGGCTTGTAGCATATTGAGTGGTGAGTCATTGCACCAAGGTTTCAAAGTTGTCAATAAATCTTGGTGGCAATTTGTTATACCAACTTAATGTTGATCCATTCAATGAAGTAGAAAAAATGTGACTCATAAGAGCATCATCATTTGTGAATATATTCATTTGAGTGATGTAGGCATCTATGTGTTCGTCAGGATATGATGTATCATCATAACGTTCAATATTGAGTGACTTCTAACTTAATGGAAGAAGGACTTCCATTATGCCATCAACAAACAAGTGTCATCAAACTCAATAAATGACCTTGATGGCGTCAAGATTGTGCGTCTGTGGCTTCATTCACAGAGAAATGTGTATGTGCTAGAGAAAGAAAGTGATGTTCCTCTTCTTGTGCATGATGATGACTTGCTTCATTTTGTGGATGTTGTTGTTGAAATTCATATTCTCATTGCGTAATACATGAAGATCGACTTCATGCTTGCGACACATGGTCTCCAAGGCTTCAGTGTTTTGTTGTCGCATGAGTTCAACTTGTTCAAGTAAACATCAAAGTGTTGCATTGTCCTCCATTCTTGGTGCGCCTTATTCTATTGCTCTTGTTGCACTTTTGGTATGATTGTGGGTTGATACCATAAGTTGCCGAAGGAAAGTTTACCTCGGCCCCACAGTCCAAAATGTTCTTACCAGAACAAGCTTGGATGGAGTACTTATTATGTAAGATCCTCTGTTGAATTTGTCTCTTGATATTGGATTGGATTGCTCTCAACCTTTGCTCCAAATGCGGTGGGGATACTTGCAAAAGACCTCCAACGATCAAGTCAATCTCCTCTAGCTAATGTTCTCATCGTTATGTTGTATGTACCTTTCTTCTTGTTAACTGTAATTTTCCATTTACATTTGTTTTATAATGGTTATGGTTGACGTGTAAATAAACTTCCTTTTATGATGATTATCTCTTTTATATAAGTATCGATATGATATATTGACTTGATTACAGGTATTCTATAGTTTTTAGTATAGGTCGATATATTAATTCGATGATATATATAGCCAAGTTCACATCGACATGTTAACTTGGTAACATATATGGCTAATAAATCAATTTTTGTATATCTTTCTGTGCTAGTTTATTTGAATTTTATTAATATCATATTGTGATATATTAGCTTTGATTTGTTCTAGTGATTCATTTTGATCTTAGTTGTAAATTTTAATTAATTTTTGTAATTTTTCCTATTTTAACATTTGTTTCTTATGTAGGCCATATTTGGAGCTCTTGACATTGGATTTAGAACTCTTGGTGTCCCTGAAAAGATAAGAGACAATTCTACAACTTCTCTATTGAGAGCAAAGGCTAGTTCAAACTTTAAGTGACCCAAAAAATGCATTGTAAAGTTGCGACTTTGCACAATAATTTTTTTTTATTTTTAGAATGTAATATTAAGATTTGTTTAGTGATATAATTAGTTGATTTGGTGGGTTAAGTCTTTAACTACTCTGGTTAGACGCATTAGTGTAGTTTATAAATAATTGTAACAGATGTACACTTGATATCATATATCTCATTTTTTAGAAATTGAGTTGTTTATCTTAGAAGTCGCTTAAAATTCTCTCTTTGTTTGTCTCTCTCACACATACTTTCTCTCTTACTTACATGAATTGGATTACTACAACATGATTACGATGTATGGTTAGTTCATTAATTGATTCTAGATTTCAAGAACTACACTAAAATTTGAGTCTCCAATCTTTTTACTGAATGAATTCTTTGCTTCTCTTCTTCTTTGTTTTAGTTTTTCTTTCATTTTTTATGATTATGAATTTTGTTTTGGATTTAGAACAAATATTTAAGATTTATTTTAGATCTAAATTTAGATTTAGATTTAGACCGAAATTAACTTAAATTGCCTAATTCAACCATTTATTGTTCTTGAATTTTATTAAAATTGTGAGATCATGATTGCATTTTATGTTTTGATGGATTTCATAGATCAAGATTTAGATTTACGTTTTTGATTAAGTTCGTGTTGAATTAGGTTGATTAAGAATTCAAATTTCTTATTGAATTGTGAAAAATTTATTATATAAATTGAAATCTTGAATTGATATTTTTTTATTGAATTTTTTACTCTTACTAATTTTGTGTGATAAAATACGAATTAAATATGTGCCTTTGTGAAGAATAACCTAGGCTATTCTTGTATTACAAAATTTTAGGAAAAATTTAATTTATTTTTTATAATGATTGAGTAACGCTATCAATGATCGACTTCATTGGCTCGGCTAGGTTGGTACAATTGGAGTGTTGGACAAATATGATTATGTGTTTATTAGGGTCCAGAATTAATCCTTTTGCACATGATTTTCTTTGAATCTTCTTTACAAAAATGAAAAAAAGAAATTGATACGCAATATGTAGTCATAGAGATAGTGTAATAAATATAAGCAGGACCACAATAAGCAAATAACTTGTTCTGATGATTTTTAGGTACATATGTTATGTTTTAATCAAAATTGCAATTGGAAACACGAGTTTCTATTTTGATGTGTTTTACTTGGTAAAAAGGCTATGTTATCTAGTTGGGACTGTAATATAAAAAAAGCATTCGAATGTCAATATCGCAAATTACAGCTTAATTTGTGCAATGTAACTAATAGAGTACTTGGATGGTCAGGTTATTGTTGGTTTTTTTTACAAGGGAAACAAGTCTGTTATAATATAAAATTGAAATATAAATTGTTGATCCATACGAGTTTATAAGATATTTTGTAATTTCTAATATTCTAATTAAAATTTGTAAAAGAAAGATATACACTTGAATATAATCATGTTGGCTTATTTAACATTGAATTGATAAGTAAATTAGTAATAGAAAGCAAGTATAAATATAAAAGATAATAGTTATAGAAGCTGTTGAAATTGAATTTCACTTATTTTACTTTTATGCTCTTTTAAGATTATTTATATATGATTAATTTCTATTACTCAATGTTATTAAATTCTTTAAAGTCATTCTAAATCAATTATTTTCCTTTAGAAAATTCAAGAATTCAAATTTAATAAACCATTCCGCAATTTAACAAATCAATGTCATTGCATTAAGTTCAAGAATTTGTCCAATTAACAACCAAAGTTTTCCAACCAAAGTCTTAATTAATCAAACATCAAAAGATGAGTGATTAATCCACCTCAGGCATTAAGAACATAATCAAGTCACTAATACCGAATAATATAAACAATCATATAAATTAAAAGAATTACATAACAGTTTGATAGATTACATTCAACCCCAATAAAGAGAGGATTAACTACTCATGGTAATGAGAGCAATATCCATGTACAAAGTATAGAATGAGAAGATGAACCTAGAATTCTCATCCCTAGATAACTCTTCATGTTTTCTTTTCTTCAACTCTACTTCACTACAACAAAATTGATTATTACCGACAATTATTTAGTAGCAATAAATTAACTACCTTTATTTTATTATTTAATAAAAATATTAATGACTAATATATAATGGTCACTAAAAATGTACTTATATCACACCAAAATTTACTATTAATGATAATTATTTATTTAGAAAAACTTAAGTCCCACATCGACCAGAAATAAGATAATTAAAGAGTATATAAATGGCTGATAATCTTACAAGTTTGTTTTGTAGGGTTAAGTTAGATCTATAACTTACTATTCTAAATTGTTATCAGATTACTCACCATTATCAAACTCAATAGTCCCTAAACTTGAGGGGTGTATTGGAAAAAATCTAAATCTCACATCGATTATTGATAAAATAATTAATTAGGAGATAAGACAATTAAAAAATATAAATATAAGTAAAAAATAATCCTCATCTTACAAATCCCACATCGAGTAGAAAGTAAAAAATGTTACAAAAAATTATACACTTTTTTCGACCATTATAAGGATTTTTACCAGCATTCAGAATAATTGCCGCTAAATGTTTTAGCGACACTGCATACAATGGTTATTGTAAAAATACTGCTAAAAGATTTTGTAGCAATTTTTATTGCCACTAAAAACTATATTAAATATCACTAAAAATCTATTTTATTGTAGTGCTTCTTCCTTTGTTCTTTGTTCTTTGTTATTTGTTATGTCTGGTGATTAATTTCTCTCTCCTCATCCCTTAAATAGGTACAAGAAATAAAACAGAGTAAGTTTGAAAGAGATCAATTTGCTCAACTATTTGAAAAGTTCCATCAACTCTATCAAAGTTTGAGAGGATTTTTGAATTCTTTATGATGAAGGAAACTCAATCAACTAAACTTTTGAAGATCAAAATTTTCACCTCTCTTTGCACCAAATATGATATGTCCTTTTGGAACTATTTTGAGCGGATTTTTCTCTACAACCAACCATGCTTTTTACCTTTATCCGCTTAGCCCTTATAGATTGATTGAGCAAATTTGAAAAATTGTAAAGATCTTGGGACTTTATTAAATCTGCATGAAAAATAAGGGTTCAATAAAAAAATCCATCAACTCTTCATAAACTACCTTATTTACACATACTTTTGACTCCTTTAATATTTAAGAGATTAAAATATATTTCTTTTAAACCTAATTAGATAAATGTCAAAATAGTCATAATTTCTAAGTAAAATTCACACTTTCGGTTACAAATGTTACTAATACGACACTTGGATGGCTAGGTTACAAACCTTCGCTGAACATGTATCCCTATATAATTTGGTTAATTACAAGATACTTAAACTTGATGAAAGTTGATTCAATTAGAGACCTTTAGTAAATTTGTTACGAAAAATGAGTAAAACCTAGAAGATAAAACTTAGTTATCAATAAAGAAAGATTATTAGAATTTTAGATCCAATTGTATACATAGAACTTTTAAGTGATTACGCCTTAGTTTAGCTTTTCTCGGTAACTAGACGAGCTACAAGAGGTTCCAATTTTAAGTGACTGCGCCTTAGTTTAGCTTTTCTCGTTAACTAAAATAGCTACAAGAGGCTCCACCAATCTACTGTGTGCTATAGAACTTCTTTTAATTGATATTTTAGAACACAAATATAACATCTAAGCGATTCATAAATAGCTATTAGGCATAGATGATAAGTCAACTATTTAAACTGTATGATTGAATTAAGTAAATTGTGAAATCATAAACCATGCGTAAGATTCTTATGTAAATCTCGAGTCACATAAGATCTTCGAAATAAATTGTCTTCATAAAATAGTTAACTTAAAAGCAGTATAATTAAGAACAGTATGTGGATCGAATTTTCACAAACTAAACAAATCTAGTTCTTGTTAACCCAAGCATATAATGTGTAAAACAATAAAAGTATTTTTTTCTCTCCTATTTTTCAGTTGCTTATGCTTGAAAATTGAAATAATAACCATAACTTCAAATGGAATCTGGTCACTCAAAAATAACACACGCTAGCTGTTTCATGCATTACAATTAGTATGAGTTAAGAAATTTTCCTCTTCTAGAAGTGAGATTAGAAGCCCCTTAACCTAATTCAAACTAAGATATTTGGGTTCTCGGTATAATCCGGATAGGAAATTAAACATGACACGTTTGTCTCCGCTGTAAAGTTAAGTCCTCCTGAATTCGGATCCTAGAAGTTACTTTTTTTTTTTTTTTTTGGTAAGTGTAAAATGAGAAAAAATACAAATATTTTTTTTAAGTGTGAAATGAGAAAAAATACAAATGAATCACAACTGATAGTCGATACTCTAAACAAATGTTAGAGTAAGATAGTTATTATTAGAGATATAACTAAATACATATTACAATCTTGGAGCTCAAGTTATGCAAAAACAGGTTTAAATTAACAATACCGAGAAAGGTATAGAATCTATGTCTTAGAGAAGATTCTTAGTTTGGCGTTATACATCTAGAGGTATGTAGCTACGTTGTTCTCAATTTCTTCTTTAGCCTGTTCATCAAATGCTTCCTCTCCAACATATAAATCTAGAATTGACTTACATAGGAGTTTGCTCTGGATGCATCCCACTTCCTGTCCATCAACTACAAGAAAAACAAATTAATTTGATGTCAAATTCTTGTTGTAATGCACCATGGCAAAACTATAAAGCACACTCATTAATAACATCAAGTGACTAAAACCCCTGATGCTAGCTGCTAAAGATTTGCATTGTTTAAAGAACGTTTATACATCACAAACTATTTATACTAGCTAAATTTAATAAGGGTAAAAGTGACCCTAATAGATCTGTTAATATCAGATCCAAAGCCAATTTCTCAAAAGATCCAGGGCACATTATAAAATGTGGATATGAATCATCCATGTTCGACGTTACCTGAATTCCGAGACAAAACACTTTCTATCAAATTGTCAGTTCCAATATAAATCAGTATTAGTTGTTTCATTCAACCCATTTCCTTGTGATGGGAAAGGTATCAATAAAATACGATCATGGATTTGTCTTTCAGTTCATTGCATAAGTTTCATGTAACAAGTTTGGACTATAGCATATACGGGGACACCCATTTGGTTAGACTCAAGTTCTAAATGAAGAAAAAAGTAGAGAGAAGAAACATATGCAGGAGTTCTCAACTGATTTTCTGAATCACTGTTAAGACATGGTTTTTCCTTATACAAAACACACATGAAGCATGAAAAATATTTTGAACTGTATTATAATTCTGAAACTTGAGATAGAAATGCAGACAAGAAGAAAGATGACTTACTTGAAGTGCAAAGAACGTGGCCCTTTTCTTTTGAGAGATGGATTACAGATCCACGAGGTATTTTGAATTCATCTCTAAACTGGGAAGTGAACCTACATCATAGTATGTCAATGAAGCAAAATTATAATATGCATCAGAAAATTCTTACCCACTTGGATGGAAAAGTTACATTTCATGAACAGATACTTGAGTAAGAATTTATATTGTATACCAAAGTTAATTTATCTGAAACAATTATAAAAGATGAGGGTTCAAACGACACCGGTGTAACTTTTACTAAGTGTTACACCGCTCAATAATTTTATATTAAATGTGAATTTTGTAAATCCAACCGTTAGATGGAAAGTTCATATCTCTTAGATCATATATGTCAAATTTTGTTAAAATTGAACAACAACTTGAAGGTAATCAAAGTGTTCATATTTTAGTATATTTTGAAATATATATATTACGTCAATTTTGTTTTATGAGAATGAAGTATCAAATCATCTTAGATTAATATAAAATTTGATATATATGATCTAAGAGATATGAACTTTCAATCTAACGGTTGGATTTACAAAATTCACATTTAATATAAAGTTATTGAGCGGTGTAACACTTAGTAAAAGTTACACCGGTGTCGTTTGAACCCTCCTCATATATATATATATATAATGTGACTTTTACTAAGTATTACACCGCTCAATAACTTTATATTAAATGTGAATTTTGTAAATCCAACCGTTAGATGGAAAGTTCATATCTCTTAGATCATATATGTCAAATTTTGTTAAAATTGAACAACAACTTGAAGGTAATCAAAGTGTTCATATTTTAGTATATTTTGAAATATATATATTACGTCAATTTTGTTTTATGAGAATGAAGTATCAAATCATCTTAGATTAATATAAAATTTGATATATATGATCTAAGAGATATGAACTTTCAATCTAACGGTTGGATTTACAAAATTCATATTTAATATAAAGTTATTGAGCGGTGTAACACTTAGTTAAAGTTACACCGGTGTCGTTTGAACCCTCCTCATTATAAAATGCTTTTATGTGTAAAAATATCTTTGAGTTACATAATATTTGGTTGGATGGAAATGAAGCAGAGGAGAAGAGATTCCCCTAATTGTTTGATTCAAATATTTGGAGGGTAGGGAGCCAAAATTTATCCTTTCCTATTTTCTCCTCCCCTCCAATATAGGCAGGATTCCAAGGGAAGAAATGGTACTTAAAACTTTTAGGGTATGCTGACTAAATTATCTTTATGTTGAACATTAGAGTTTAACAGCTTTATTTATCTACAGTAAGGGTATACCGATAAGTTGCTTTATTTTCTCTCTTTCCTCTTTTCCCTCCATTTCAAATTCCTTCCTTGCTTTGAACTAAACAGTGCATTAGCTAGAGATGAAAAAACTTCAAATTTATTATCAACCAAAAATCAACCTTTTCTATACTAAAAAGAGAGTTCTGAAGTGTTACATTGATATGCACATATATACTTATTTGACAAACATTTTTGCCTTTGTGAAAGTGAGAATTCTGTCCCAAATCTTCAATTTCTCACAATTTCTCACAATTTCTCCACAAGTAAATATAATGACGCAATAAATTCTCATCTCAACATATGAAAATGAGATTGCCAGTTGAAGAAATTATTCACCTTTGAAGCAATTCTTTGTTGTCCGATCCCCCAAACCTCCGCAGTCTGCTTCCCACAGACTCTTCAAATGCACTACGCACGGAACCAATGCTCAATCTGCCATAGACAATTTGAAGTCTAACCGTCATGGGTATATCACTTTCCATAAGATCATCAATAAACTCCTTATTACCCTGCAATTCCGACACAGGCAACTTCCCATATTTCTCAGAAAGATATTTCTTAATGTCCTCATCATTAGCATAAACACCTGCCACAAATGACACAAAATTACCAAATATTATAAAAGTTTGGTTGGTTTGTCTCCTAGTACTATTTGATATACATTTCAAACTAACAATTCCCTTTTCCTTCTGTCCAACCAAGAAGAAGGTCAGAGCAAATTAGCAAACAAACTATTTACACAAAAATTAAGTTACAACAAAACCTCACCCACACTCATACTTCATCTAATAAAAGGTAATCAACAGAATTTTAGAGACCTAACATCAAAATGTACGAAGCTAAATTGGGAAAAATAAATTTTGTTTTTCATACCAAATGCGTAAACATCAATGTTCTTCAATCCAAAAACGCTTTTTTTGCGTAAGCCAATTCCACAGAGCTTGAGAGAAGGGCCTAGGGCGGAAGGGAAGGAGACTCCGGTCTTTCGCTCAAGCACGTGAACACCATTGTCCTCCAAACTGAGTGAACCCCAGAGAGCAGATGAATGCTGAGAAGACACCACGGAACTCATCGCATTCCAGAGAGAGGAGCGATCGGAGGAGGAGACGGCAACGACCGCGGCAGAGGCTCCGACCGCGGCAGCGGCTACAGCAAATGCAGTGAAGGGGCGAGGAAATTTAGGCGGTCGGAGCGGAGAAAACGAGAAAGGGAAGCGCATGAATGCCATTTTGGTTTCACTGATTCAGAGTACGAGACCTCATAAGAAGGGCAAAATAGTACACGGACACTCGCGCCCATTAACAAATCATAGGTTTCTTCTTCTTTTTTTTTTTTTTTGAAACATCGCCAATCCTAAGAGTAAAAGATCTTTCTGTTGGCAAAGCAAGGGTTTAACTCGAGAATTATTATATCCTCGGACCGAATGTTTAAAATATTTATAATTTTTAACAAATTTATTATAAAATAATTATTTAATTTAATATTTTATAATTTAAAATAATTTTTTAAGGTTTTTGGAAGAATTTTCGGAATACAATTCGGAAGAACTAGAATTTTTCTTAACTCAATAGCTAAGCGGTATGGGTGAGACGGTGAGATCGAGAGTTATGTTAACTTTTTATTTTATTATTATTTTTTATAATTTTTATGCAGGATTGGCACGGACGTATCGAATTTTTTACATAAATAATATTCTTTTAAAAAAATTATTTAAATAGCAACCGTGTAAATTTATTTATCAAACTAGCATGGTTTACTGTTCATATTTTTTTTTTTCGTTTTGGGTTCAGGTCATATGTGAATTTTGCACCTGGAACGGCATGTTCTGCATGCACTCTCGTGTATTATTTTTATATCTAGAGTGAGCCGTTCTTAAATCAGAACGGACCATTCTAGAGTTGAGTTTTATCTCATAACCTCAATGTTAGAACGGCCCATTCTGGTCACTTCTATGCACTATGTCTTTTTATCGATGTAATATGAATTTTAATGTTTAAAATTTTTATTTTTAATGCACTATGTCGCTTATAAGCTATTATAATTATTCATTATTTGAACATGTCTTCCTAGTGTAATGAAGGACATAGTCCACCAAGTTGCAAAGGTATACGAAGAACAGTTTGGAGAGAACTTCCTAGTGTAGCCAAATCCATAACTCAAGAGAACTTCCTGATAGAAACAATGAAAGCAATTGTGTATATATAAATCCATGTTCATCCTCTAGTTTGAATGATGTGGGACTTTACTTGGATCCCAACACTATATTTTAGAGACACTGATAGAAACACTTTGGCAAAAGAATTTATCAATTACACAAATGAATGCTTTTGGATGCTTTATTTCTTATCGGGCATGTAACTTCCTCATGAAAGTCATATACTGAAAATTGGTTGCTCAAGATTGCAAGATTAGATCAACCCCACAATGCTTTAGTTAAGGCCAAGCAGTTGGGATAATATGACAATGATTCGATGGAAATAATGGTTTGGAGCTATGTGGCATTTTGATTGATGTTTGGGTTTGGTTGATAATTGGTTTCTCTATGTACTAACATAAATTTTGTTAAGTATGAAGGTGAAAAAAATGCTATGAGCTCTTGTCAAAAAGGGTACCTTTTGTAGTTTAAAACCATGTAAATGGTTCAATATTTCAAGCGATGGAAGAATGCCTAAGGATTGATTCCGTGAAGATGGAAAAATATTGCCTTATTCTTATCACATGGCTCACACGCGTGCTTTCTACTTTTTCTAATATTGAGCAAAATAATGCTACTTGAAAATCTTATTAGGATCAAACAAAGTCTCACATTGTTATAATAAGGGGATGAATATAGGTTTATAAGTACACACAATCTCCATTGAAAAGAGATTTTTTGAATGTTGACCAAAAACAAATTCATGAGGATTTAAACTCTAAATACACAATATAGTACCAATGTAGAGATGTGTGTGAACCCTAATGCACTTCAAGTGGTATAGTTGATAGCTCAAGGTTATCGGCTCAGATGAGTGTTGAAAAATGGAGGCGGTGGATCTATGTATGGGGATCCTTTTGTTGAAAATCTTTCGAACAATTTGGAGGTTAAGTTGTAACGCCCAATTTATATAACAATAATTATATATTTTCTTATATAATATTTTCGCAATAATATCATTAACAATATTTTTTTTAAAAGATAAAGATAAAGAAAAAGAATATTTTGTAAAATTATACATGACATATCATTCTAAAATAGTTACAATAATTTACTATTTTACACGTTATTTATTTCTTCCACTTCTATTACAATAATTACATCGATAGTGAAAAGAAAATTACAATTGAAATAATATGATTGACAAATAAAATTATAATAAATCCATCAAATAGTCTCCATATTCCAATTTCTTCCAAGTAGGACAGCGGTAATAACAACTGCAAAATGATCTGGAATCCCAAGTAGATCCATCTATTTTATGATATATTTAATTTTAAAAAAACGAAGAAAAGAGAGGAGTAAGAACAATATCCAATAAATACAATAATTCAAAAGAATATACAAAATTATTTATAATCAATATTAAACATATATATATATATATAAATATATATACAGATCATATATTAGATTTTCATGATACAATAAAATTTGAATTATACTTGTAGTGACTAGTCAAGATAAATGAGCATCATCATAACATCAACCAACAAAAGGATATTTCACCTTAGCCAACAATAAGATATTTCACTTTCATTCCTCACTCATTTAAATCTCTAAAGTCAAACCTCCAGCTACAAATAATTCAAACTTTATCTTCTATGGCCATAGAACGATATTTATCTTCATAAATACGTGAAGAAATAACAACAAGACGAGTCCAAGATATCATAACTATATCATAGTTGATTATAAATATATTTACAAATAAATATATTTACGTAAAAAGAATATATAAAAGTACCAATGATATAAATAAAAATGACAATAATTATAAAATAATTAAACAATATAAAATATGAACACCTTAATAATTAATATGGACAACAATAATTATAGGTTAAGCAAATAAATGAGGTTAGGGACACCCCACTAGATAAATATACATAAAAAATAACATAAATAAATAAACATAATAATATATAAAATTTTAAAGAGATAAGGTTCTCCTCTCCCTTACCTTGAAATGCACACTTATCAGAATTTTATTCTCTTATGTTGCGGCTTTCTCTATTTTCTCTTTTTCTCTCTTCTCTCTTTTGTTTCTATTTCCGTTACTTCGTACCTCTCAATTTAGTGTAATTGAGGCCTATTTATAGGCAAATAAGAGTTCACTCAGTTCACTGCTTTGGGATAACATTCTTATCCCCGTAATGATTTAGTGTACCTTCAGCTTATTTTACACGTATCCATATGTAATCAGATGATAATTCTTATCTCTGTATTTACTGCAGCCAGGTGTATTGCTAGCATGTGCAGATTCAGCAGCTTTGAAACATTTCCAATTGTTTTGGTAGACGGGGATGGAATTGTTAGAGCCAATGTTCCTTTTCGAAGGGCAGAATCTAAATATAGTGTCGAACAAGTAGGTGTAACTGTTGAGTTTGGAATCCATATTATGCAAGGAGACATTGCTTTTGCTAATTCGAATTGAAAGGTGATATAAAATCGGTCTATTTCTAGCATCATATCCATAGTTAGCGTATTCATCATAGTTACAAGCTCCAGCTCCATATCAAGGCAATTGCTGTTATAATTGGAATGAAGCAGGTTTTTTTTTTCAATTTAAAATCAATATGGATTGGTTATATATCAACTTTGATTTTATTATCTCATTAAGTATCTCATTAATAAAAAAAACCCATTCTAGATTCAAAGGAAACTTGTCTAAAACTACCTATAGGTGGTAGGGGTCGAGTTATTGATGAGAGATGGATCCAAAAAAAGAGAGGTTCCAGTTATTATACAGAAACGATTCTCTTATTTTGCTTAAAATTATCTGTCTATATATATATTATGTGTCTATATATATATATATATATATATATATATTATGTTTAGTATCAAATCCAATTTTCTTATATTTTACAATAGAAAAATATTTCTATAATAGAACTCTCTATTATAATTATAGAAATTGAAAATCCAAAAAAAAAACAGTGACATAATAAGGTGTATGAAGTGTCATTTCCTATCTTATATTTTAATTTGAGTAGGTAGATAGAGAGTCCATTTAAATGCTTACACATATGCTCATTACTTTGCCTTTTGCCACGTATATATATATCCGGTGCCACGTAACTGCATATATACATAAATCCGCTGCACATTCCCTGCATATATATAGATCCGCTGCACATTCCCAATTGTAGCACATTCTTTTTTTTTCCTTTTTAATTATTTATATAAAAATATATAAGGCCATGGTAGGATTTGAACCCATGACCCAGTACATGTAGTTCTTAAGCACAATTAGTCAAATCACTAAACCATTTTATTTTAGTTAATCTAAGGGTTATATTTTAATTCTCTCATCTCTCATAATAAATTCCCTCTCACTTGATATGCTCCCTATATATATATAT